AGGTGTTTTTGTTTGTTTGTTTGTTTGTGTTGTTGTTCATTATAGCCCTCTATCACCCCTTCCAGTGAACAAAGCTAGAGCGTTAACTGAAAGTCAAGTACCCATGCAGGATGGCAAAGGGTTTTGTTATTGGTTTACCTAGTTTTCTTCCATCAGTCTAGAAAATCTCGGATTTTATCTCTTCACATAATACTTCTGCCTCATTCTGGCTTTCTTGTTCTTTGAGGATTCCAATTAAACATTTGTTGTACCTTTTCAACATCATCTTCTAGGCTTCAAATTATGTCTCCGATATTTTCTTATGCATTTTTCCTTTTTTTTTTCTCTTTTTTTTGGTTTTGTTCTCTCTGTGCTTCATTCTAAATAGACTTCTGGGGTGCATGGGTGACTCAGTTGGTTGAGTGTCTGACTCTTGGTTTTGGCTGGGGTTGTGGTCTTATGGTTCATGGGATCGAGCCCCAAATTGGGCTCCACGCTCAGTGATGGGGGGTGTCTGTTCCAGGATTCTCTCCTGCTGCCCCTACCCAACTCTTTCTTTATCATACAAATATTTTTTTAAAATAGCCTTCCAACATATGTTCTGGTTATTTTCTCTTTAACTGTATGTAATATACTATTAAACCTCTGCATTGAGTTCTTAATTCTAGAATAGAGTTTCTGCTAGATTATTTTTTCAAACTTTTAATTTTTTAGTGTAGGCATGCTTTGATTTCAGTCTTTTTCTGATTTTTAACTATGTGCTGGTCATTTTATTTGGAAAATTATCTGTGTAGGGTTGTCTGAGATTTGGGGTCATGATATCTTCATCTGGAGGGGACTTAATTGTTTCTATCTAGTGCCTGTAGTGTGCTTCTCTAGGACCTGTTTATTCAATATAGAAAGCTTAATAAACAATTACTATTAAACCTGATTGCAATCTGTGGAAGTACTGATTTACTTCTGGTTTATATTTACCCTAAGGAGCCTCGTATTAAACATAGGGGGTGTTTATTAGATTTTCCATCTTCTGTGATACTAGGTTTAGATTTCTCTCTTGCTCAGCAATCCTCCAAAAGTCATAGCTCATTTTATAGATGTTGCTTTTAGATTGTCAAATACCTTCAGGACAAATGTTTGGTTTGACTGCCTGAATACTTCTAAGATTTTGGCTAGATAATTCCTTATATTAAGCATTTGGTTCTGTTTTCCTAAACCCAGATTTTTTGGTTCTATCAGGTGGTGAGTTGGATCAAATTACTAGTTGCTTAATATGTATGCTGTGTGAAACCATCCTTGCATTAATAGGGTAAGAGGTATTTATAAGTTAGATGAGAAAACTAATTTTTGTCTAGTTTTGCTATCAAAGTTATTATAGCATTTAAAAATAAGTAGAGAATGTTCCTTCATTTTTTAGTTCTCACTGTAGTTATTGAAATCAGATCATTGGTTGCTTCTTGTGGGGGCCTTGACTGGGATGGGGCAAGAAGGAACTTGGAACTTTCTGGGGTAATGGCCATGTTCTGTATCTTGATAAGTATTTTTCAAAAATAATTGAAGAATTTACTTAAGATATGAGGATTTAATTGTATGTAAATTAGATCAATAAAAATTGTTCAAATATCAATAATTACTGAATCTAGTTAGAATATACACAGATGTTCATCGTATTATGCTTTTTTCTTGGTGTTTAAAAATTTCAGAATAAAAAGTTGGGTATATAAAACTAAAAGATAAATTCATTGTTCAATTTCCTTGATATTAGTTTCAGTAAATGTTAAGGCCAAACACTATCGGAAAAGTGTAAAGGACTAAAGAAATGTGATTAAAATAGATGTATGACAGGCAAAGGAAGAAAGATGGCTTGGCACTATAGGAGGTTTGAAAATGATTATATGGAGAGAGGAAGAAATCAGTGGGAAGGAGAGATGTTGGGATGCCTGGGAGGCTCAGTTGGTTAGGCGGCTGCCTTTGGCTCAGGTCATGATCCCAGGGTCCTGGGATTGAATCTCGAGTCAGGCTCCTTGTTCGTCTGGGAGCCCGCTTCCCTCTCTCCCTCTGCCTGCTGCTCTCCCTGCTTGTGCTCTCTCTCTGTCAAATAAATAAATAAAATCTTAAAAAAAAGAGAGAGAGAGATGTTGAGATCAGAGAGAATTGCTGGTTCAGAGGTAGGAAGGATAAGAATAAGACAGGTGCTTAGAACTGAATTCAAAATTTCATGCATGGTCCCACTAGGTTGAGTCCTTTCCAAAGATATTAGGGTATATCACCTGGGTATATTTTGAGTGCCTCTTAATTATACTTTTTTTGATATTTATCAGCTGTTTAGGTATAAAAGATTTATCATCTATCACTTTAAAAGTTCATAAAGTTATATACTTTATCTCATTTAATCCTTCAACATTCTGAGTTCAGGAATAATCATTTGTTTTATGTATTAGAAAATTGACTTTGCTAAAGTTACATAGCTAATAAATGGAAAAGTCACTCCCAAGACTTTTGACTTCATGTAGTGTAATCTTGGGACAGTTTCATTAAATACTGATTTTTTAAAAAAAATATTTTATTTATTTATTTGGCAGACAGAGATCACAAGTAGGCAGAGAGGCATGCAGAGAGAGAGAGAGAGGAGAAAGCAGGCTCCCTGCAGAGCAGAGAGCCCAATGTGGGACTTGATCCCAGGACCCTAAGTTCATGACCTGAGCCAAACGCAGAGGCTTAACCCACTGAGCCACCCAGGCGCCCCTAAATACTGATGTTTTTTAATTGGAGCTAGGCTAAGGAGGTAGAGCAGTCAAGTAATTGCCTAGAATCTCAATCTATAAAAAGTGTTAACACATTTTATCTTAGATAATGTCATGAGGAGGATGCCTGGCTGACGCAGTCTGTGGAGTGTGTGACTCTTGATCTTGGTGTTGTAAATTCAATCCCCACTTTGGGTATAGAGAATATTCAAAAATAAAACCTTAAAAAGAAAAAAAGAAAATGTATTGAGAAAATGGTATTTAATGGTGTTCTTCTGGGTGAATAGTTCTCTGTGTGTGTGGCTAGAAGTGGTACTTTGGTATGTGGTTTAAAGTGGTGGTGAGATTATTACACCTCCCTCCTCCCCAACTCTGCTCCAAGAACATTTCATGCCACATTATAAGAAAGTTAGATTCAAGTAAGTGCAGAGATTTCTATCTCATGAGTAGGATATACAAATTTAGACCAGAGCTGGACTGTTCGTGACAGTAAAGAGACAAGCATCCCCTTCACTCTTTACTACTCAGGCTTTCCACTAAACAAACATTGAATGAATGTTAAAGTAGTTTAGAAAAGATGCCAAATTAGTAATCTGGTGCAGGCAGACAGGGTAGTATTCTATTTCAGGTGCTACTAATAGAAAACCTACGAAAAACTATCTGAAACAGTAACAGAAAGGCATTGGCTTAAGAAAACTGACGAGTAAGAGGTGGAGGGGTGTCAAAGTTAACTCTGGAATTTTTTTGGGAGATTCTTACCCATGAGATGGGTTGGTTCTCAGGCTGGCCCCTCATTGTAGCAAAATGGTTATAACATTCCATAAGCTAAATGGTCTCCTCATCTCTCACCTCTAATCACTGAATAAATGGGCCCATACTTGATCTAATTGGCAAAGCCTGGAAACGCCCTGTAGCTGTAGTTGCATTTACAGGTTCAGCTCTGATGTAATCACTGTGGCAAGGACATGGGACATGTTATGATTGGGTTATGACCTGAGGCAGCAGTTAGAACTTCGCAGTCAAACCTACCCAACCCTACAACGAATACTACAGACAAGTCTCAGTGAGGCCACGCCTCTCTTAGTTTGCGTTCATCTTGGTCCGTCTTATGTCTTGTAAGCTTTTTGGTGCAAGGCTTGTATTACATTCCATTCAAAGCTCCCAGTTCACAGTGGCCTTCATTTAATGACTGTTGAACAATGTAAAACTCCCATTGACGTGTAAATCAAGGCCAACGGAGAATTAGCTAAGATTAAGCCAAGCTAAGACCACAAAGTTAATGGTAGAGAGCCAGCATTGGAAACTAGATACTGTTCATTCATTCTTTTATTCACGAAACAAATAGGACTGGGAAAAGGCAGTAGGTAGAAACCAAATTAAACAGGACCTTGCAAATCGTATTGTTTTAAAGTTCTTTCGTGGGTGGGTTTCATCCCCCTCTTCAAGGAAATCTGACCCCTGGCCTTGGTCCAGTGAATTTTCTGAGCAGCCTGACTCAGCATCTTCTCCCAACCTTTATCAGCACGTCAGCGGTGCCATCCAGCATCCTTCCATCTCCTCTGCCCTTGGCATTTCATCTTTCCCAGCTATCTGATTTCCCTGACCCCTCGACTTTTTAAAAAACCAGGGTTCTCCTGAGCACTCTGTTTTCGCTCTCTTATTTCACGGCTCCCCAGTTCCACCGCCCAACTCTCAACTCCGCACTCCATGACATTCAGTCGCCCTTCAAAGTCAGAAGGAATCAGCCGGGTTAGTACATGGACGATATTCCCAAAGCAAAGAGGTCTCGCCCATCCTGCTCCATTAGATCGGAACAAGAGCTTACCCAACACCCACATTTAGATTGTTCCGCCACTACTCTGGGGATGGTTTTATGTGCGGCTGCTTTCCTCCGGCTACAGCCACCGTGTGGAAGAGCACCGTTAGAATTTTCCCGAAATGTTGCTGTCGGGAGTCCCGGCCACCTCTTCGTCGTCTTCGCCGCTCCCCCCGGCCAGGCCCTCCTCCAGGCCGGCGGGTAACGCCGCAGTCGCGCCGGCGCTTCCAGGGGAGGCAGGAGCCGCGCGGGACGGAGGCATCGCCACAGGCCCGACGCCTAAAGGCGTGCGGGAGGCCGGCACGCCGCGGGAGAGGGCGGGAGCTGAACGCCGCGCGCCGCTAGCCCGGGCGGAAGACATGGGCGGAAAGTGGTGGGCCGGGTGGGCAGGGTGGGCGCCGGAGGGCGGGGCCCGCGCGCGCCGGGGGCGGAGCTCCCGCGCCGGTCACGTGACAGGTCCGGCGGCAGCGGCGGCGGCGGCGGCGGCCGCGGCGTCTTCAGCGGCGCCCAGTGCAGGATGGTGCTGGAGGCGGCGGCGGCGGCCGTGGTGGCGGCGGCGTTGTTGGCGGCAGCGGGAGGGGGTGCTGTGGCGGCATCGGCGGCGGCGCCCGCGGGTGGTGTAAAATGGCGGATTTCGAGGAGTTGAGGGTAAGCGGGGGCGCGGGAGTGGGGAGTGGAGGCCGCGGGGGAGGGGAGGGGAGGCGGGGAAGCCGCAGCGTCGCCGGCCGCCACCTTCTTGTTTCGCGGGGACCGGTTGTCGGAGCCGGGAGCCCCGGCCTGAGTGCGAACGGGCGCCCGCCCGGGCCGGCGCGGGCGGGGGAGGGGAGCCAGGCGGCGGAGGACGCCTGGGCCGCGCGGGGTCGGCGGGCCCGGGGCCCGGGCGAGCGACCGGTGGGTCCCGCGGGGGGTCCGCACACCTGGCGTGGGGCGGGGGCCGCCGTCGGGAGGGGCTCGTGGGGACCCGACTTTCTCGTGTAAGGGCTGAGGTGGGGAGCGGGATTTGCTTTTCCACCTTCATGGGGTGTGTGTGTGTGTGTGTGTTTGTTTGTGTGTGTGTGTGTGTGTGTGGCAATTCAGAAGTCTACACGTTACTCACTTGGTGGGAGCTTGTTTTCTGAAACGTGAAGTTGCGTTTAGGAATCCTCTCTCTTATGGCTGATGCTACCGTTTAGTGAGATCTGTCACAAGAAAGGCCCCTTTCTCCTACCAGTGCTTCCTCTTGAAGAGAAGCGTGGTCTTTTGGGAGCGCTGCCTTTAATAATCGACCTTAAACCTTGATATTTTCTTAGTGCTGTGGTAAGACACCCGCAAAGGCCGTGTTGTCATGAGGTTTGTTTGTGAACTCTTTTTGCTCGAGGGAAAGCATTTTTCTTTCTAGTCTGAGAACAAGGTCACAACTTTATTGTTGATATCTTTGTATAGTAGAGGCTTGACAATGGGTGTGCTGGAGGTAGAATGGAAAAGATGTTTTTCCCTGCGCTGATAACCTTCAGAGTCCTCAATTGAAACTAAACGGTGGTCAACGAATAGGCTTTATTTTTTACGGATCGCTGAATTACGGGCGACAGAAATGGAATATTTAAGGACGGAAACACTGATTTAAAAGAAAAGTCAAAGTAGAGATGAATGTGAACTTGAAATTAACGGCAGTCCTTTTGCATAACAGACGTATGGTGTTAGGGTTACTTTTTTGAAATAAGAAGAAAGAAGAATCTGGTAAAATATTCAGTTTTGTATATTTATTGTTTTTTTTCCGCGAGAGATGGAGAGGGGAAGGATGTTGATTGTTCACCTGGCTGGTAACGGTGGACCTCAGCAAAAGGACGCATTGGTGATTCTGATCTAAAGGGAGAATGTGTTATAATTTTCGTAATACCTGCCATTTTCCCTTCTGTTGTTTCAAAAAGAATGGTACATTAATGCATTTTATGCTCTATATTAGTTTATACAGAGAACCATGATAGTAGGTAAAAAGGGTAATCGTATTGGTAAGTGTAGGAGTTTTAATGTCTCAGAGCATAGAGCTTTTTTAACACCTGTGGAGCTTTGAAACAAGAAGGCCTGAGCCTCAGCTGTATAAATGAATGCATTAGGTTCAGGGATTGGTTGAGGAGACTGAATGTTGAAGTTAAATTAAAAAAAAAAATTTTTTTTTTTTTACCTGCAGTATCCTCTTCATTTTGCATAGTAACATCTCTATATAGTTTATTCTCTTCTAAGGTTTTTTGTTGATGAAAATTTTTCCAGACTTGCATTAGACTTTTATAAATGTTGTTGGTCAAAGCTTAATAAAAAGGGAGGATTTAAGGGGCGCCCATTTGCTTAGTTGTTGGGTGTCTGCCTTCGGCTCAGGTCATGATCCCAGGGTCCTGGGATCCAGCCTGGCACCATCTGGGCTTCCGGCTCTGCGGGAAGCCTGCTTCTCCATCTCCCACTCCCCCCGCTTGTTTTCCCTCTCTTGTTGTGTCTCTCTCTGTCAAATAAATAAATAAAATCTTAAAAAAAAAAAGAAAAAAAAAGGAGGATTTATTTACCAGTCTAGGGCAGAGAAGGCAGTCAGTGCTGAAGTTCGGGTGGAACCAGGAACTGCAAAGTGGTTGGAAACCAAAGATGCATTTTTCTCTTTGGTTGTACCTGTCCCTTCCGCCTTTTCCATTCTCCCCTTTTATCTCCCCCACCTCCCTTCTGCCTCCCCTTCCCTCTTGCCCCTCCCCACCCTCGCCCCCTACAGTTTGTTTTGTGGGTCACTTCATCTCTTTCTGTAAATGAGCTGTCTTTGCTTCTCCCTGCACTTGATGGAAGATGGCCACTCCCTCATAGTTCACATAAGGTGCCCAACAGAGAGTGACTGGGAAGAGTTTTCAGAGGACGGAAAGGGTGTGCAGATGGATGCTGGAAAAGAGTTATCCACCCCAGTCTTCGCCTTAGCTGCTCAGCAGCATCTTCTACATTTAAAGATGAACAGTCTCCGTGCCCTGCCCTCATTTCAAACAGTGACGACGATGATGATGATAGATATCCGTAATAATATAAGTGGTTATTACATGCCTGGCTCTGGTCTAAGCACTTCACATACCTGTTTGATTCTCACAACAATTGTAATAGAATTGTTAGAAGAATTGTCAGAAGAAATTGAGACAGCTTGAGTAACCTGACGCAGTTTGAGCTGGAAGACCTGGGATGTTTAACCTCAGATGTCCAGCTTTAGAGTCCCTGCTTTTCAGAGTCCGAGCTGTCCTGCTCTGTAGTTTCCTTCAGGTTCATGTGGTGCTGCTAGCCATCAGCCTGGGATTTATGAACTAAACAATGATAAATAGCCGGTGCCCTTCTTATGTGATATATAATACTGGAGGGGAAACAGGACAGCTGACTGAAAATCTAATTAGAAAGGAGGGAAAGAGGAAGAAACATGCAGGACATTCTAAATGGTCTCTGCCTCAGAATATATTCTGTGAGGGTCAGAGAGATCGTCAAGTAAATTGAAGGATGAGGAAAAATGGCCAGCATTAGTTTGTTGACTAACTTGGCAGGTAGAGGAAATAGCCGACCTGGATGTCACATATTTGGCTGCCCATGCTGCTGCTGAGAGGATTTCCAGTATCTTTATCCTTTATCATTCGGGGCTACTCCCTAGGGGCTTGTATAACCAGAGCAGGTCACTTCTGGCTGGTGATGCCATCTCCTGTACTGGAAGTCAGGAATTCTGGGAAAGGTCATCCCCACTGTGCTTTGGTGACTCCTGTGCCATTGCTTTGTAAGCTTAGGGTGGGGGTGGGGGTTATTTGATGAGGCAACTCCTGTGGAACCTTAAGAGGTTGCCAGATGATTTTAGTTTTTGAGACTGCTATGTAAGCCAATACTAGAGGTCTTGTCCGGTCATAGCAGAATATGGCAACCCTGTACTTTGCTGCTTTCATTTAAATAGAATACCAGCACACCTTTCTTCTAGTTCTTCTGAGAGAGAGGATCTGACTGGCTGAGCTTAGCTGAGGGTCCTCTTCTATTCTAATCATCTCTGGCCAGAAGCTTAGAGTCCTAGCACAAAAACCTGACTCATGAGATTATCTTGATGGGTTGGGGGAAAGGAAGGAGCAAGTTCTCTGAAGTGGAAATTGTGGGCTGAGTAGTCAAGGACGATTATGATAACACATCATGTATTCAAAGCTTTCAAGATGCTAGAGAAGAAATTATTCAGTTCAGTGGTTGGTTGTATATAGCTTTTTTGTTGGTAGAAGTTTCTGAATTAACTAATTTGTAAATTAACTAGTTGTGAATTAACTTGGGACAAGCTCATAAGGTCTGATGACTGGGACCTCTGTCACTGCCACCCTCCTTTCTCCCTACGAAATAGTCTCTGTCAGAGCTAAGCACAGGGATGGAGCAGAGGCAGAATAGTCAGGGTTCTGAAGTTCAGAAAAGCCACCAGAGTGGCTTTTTTTTTTTTTTAATGATGTTTTATTTTAGAGAGTGAGGTTGCATTCGAGTGCCGGGGTGGGGGTTAACCGGGTGGAAGGGCAGAGGGAGAGAGGATCTCAAGCAGACTCCCCGATGAGTGCACAGCTCCACATGGGGCTCAGTCTCATGACCCTGAGATCATAACCTGAGCCGAAATCAAGAGTGGGACATTTAATTGACTGAGCTATCCAGGCATCCCCCATAGTGGCTTTTTTACCCTTGTCTTTCTCCTCCAGTTGCATAATTGTATACTGTGGGCTGTTGGTGCAGTCTTTTGGCAGTTCTTAAAAAGGTTCCTGCTATTATTTAACCTGGTTAATCTACTCTCCTTACTTCTCACCACTGAACTATGGAGATGGAGGAGGGATCTATTGTGGTAACATTTTTTTTTTTTTCTTTAAAGATTCTCTCTCCTCTCCTGCATTCCTCATCCCCTTCCTTTTGTGCATTGCGTTTATTATCTCCATGTGTGTCAGAGAACAAGAGTGAATGTGTGTGCAGTCTTAGTGTGTGGGCTAGTGAAAGAGAGTGAGTGATCGTAACTTTCTTGATAGATACTGGCAAACCAAATGCAGAAGAGCTTTTATGCTGAGTCTTAAGTAATTCTATAGCAGAAGATTTTCTGCGTAGAAGGCTTGGATGTTTGGTTCTTTACACATAGCAGGACTTGCCATTCTGGTAGCTTCGGGTGCTGTTAGGATATAGAGGGAGAATAGGAAGTTAATGGGGGGGGGTGTGAGGTTAGAATTCTTCATCCCTTTCATATGATTCAAAGTCTTGAGTGGACCTAATTGAAATTTCAGGACACAACTTCACTTGAGATCCTGTTTGTGAAAGCACGTTCCAAACTCAGTATTTAACTTAAATGGATAATTTTAAATAGTAAACCAAGGTATTCTTAGCTGTGGTAGATGCCTTTGCATTTGTTTGCACCTTAGGTCTGTGGCCTCCCTCCATGAATGTCTTTTCCATGACATTTCTAAGACTGTTCTAAATATAACATTCTTCAGAAGTTTCTCTTTTTTTAGCATTTTGCCTTTATTTTCCTGGATTGGATCTTAGTTACTTTATTTTTAAAATTTTTTTATTAAGATGTAATTTACATACCATAAAATTCAGCCTTTTAAAATGGCTTTGGTCTATTCACAGAGTTGTGCAAGCATCACCACCATCTAATTCCATAACATTTTCAT